TTACAGTTTTACTTAGAATAAGGTTTGATCTGCACAGCTGGGGGCCAGGGTAGGAAGTAATTTGACTTCAAAAAAAGGAAATTCAGAGCTGTGTTAGCTGCAAACCTACCTTGGGGTCACGGTGGGTAGAGACAATGCTTAATGTCACTCTGATCTAAACTTCTGTTGTGCAGTAGTCTTAGATGGGAAGATGCAAATGAGCATCTGTTCACCCCAGGACCACAAGGACAGACCAAAGGAAACATGTCCACCCAAGTGTAGCTTTGTCAACCAGGGTCCTCTGCGTTTGCTGCAGAGGCATGCGTAAGGGCTTGCATACCACAGTATGGGTGATTCAGAGGCAGCTGCATCATCAAAAAGCCCACTCAGAGTGAGTGACAACCCATGAAAACCATATTCCTGGCAGACAACTCCATGGAGGAGCCTGCCTGCCCTAGAAACTGTTTTCTGTCTTTATAAGTCTGGGGAGGGGCCTGGTGAGTTTTGTGATCTTCACTGGTTTCTGAGTCTCTCTGCCTCCTTCCTGGGGGAGATTTCTCGGTTTGGTGGAATCCGCCACTCATCACTCCACTTTAGTCTGTCTGTGACACTGGAGGGTAGAAAAAGAAATTATTTCGTGTCTATATTTTTTTAAAAAAGGAAAACCAAATACCAAGGCAGTTAAAAAAAACCTTCCCCTGGGTCACAGCAGCTGAAGCATCCCCTAATCTGACTCTAGCTGGGCTTCACACCTCTAGTGTCCCCGAAGAGGGTCTGACTGGTGTGGGGAGCTAGTGCCTCACTCCACAGAGGCTAAGGGCACTGTGGGAACACAATGCATGTGTTTTGTTTATTTCCTAGCCAGATGACAGTGGCAGCCAGTGTCTAGTATGGGGTAGGGTTGAGAAACCTGCACACAGCTCCCCTTGACAATGGGGATGCTTGGACTGCTTTGTCCTCACCCAGGCCTTCTCTGCTATACCCTCTTCCAAATCCCAGGTGCTCAGGTCAGTGATGGGAGGTAACACCTATGCCTTCCTGATCTTTCTTTGGGTATCTATGCCTGCATGACCGTACCCTGTTTTCTCTACCTCTTCTCTGAGGTCCACCTCTTTAAGAATCAATGCTTCCTGGGCCATTCTCCCATGGCCACATCCATGTCTTCACATCTTCCGTCACCTGTTCATCGTGCACTTCTGGTGGCCCCACAGTGGCTTTGACTACACACTTCCCAGCCTCACTTCCTTAGAGACCCGTTGTGAATCCATGGTAGAGGTGGAAGGTGAGAACAAGGATCCACTGGCCAATGGAAATTACCTATTGGAGGGCATGCTGGTGTCTTAGACCTAGGCTGGAATTGTGTGCTCACTTGATAGAGTTGTTCACAACCAGCAGCTACTCATTGAACACCCATTTGGTGTCAGGCCTTAAGAGAGCTGCTGGAACAAGGTAAGCAGAGCCTCTTCCTTCTCAGGCTCACACCCTAGAAAGGGGGGTTGCAATGAGGACAAACTAAGGATGGAAAGAAAGGATTAGAGTAATGGAATTAGTGATGGTTAATAAAGGCTAGAGTGACTTACAACGCAGATGTGTGTGTGTGTGTGTGTGTGTGTGTGTGCATGTGTGTATACATGCACACATATAGTGTATTTTCAATGAATATCATATATGTAGAAACAAACCCTAGGGTCTTTGGCTTTCCTGTTTACAATATTGAGAGAGTCTATGACATCAACAGCAAAAACAGAATGAGCCCTAAGTTCTGCCCTGGCATGAAGGAGAAGGGAGGCTCTCCTCAGAGTCACCCTGCTTCTGAGCTGTCATCATCACTAGGGATGGTTCCAAAGATAGAAGAGGCTCTGGAGACGGGGCTTAGGTGTGATACTCCCCAACTTCTGTGGCCCTCTCTGCTGTTGCTGATTGGTTCTCAGAACTGACCTGTCCTGGCTGTCAGAACCCCATGGAACCATTGCAAACCCTTCACTGGTACCAACTCTTTGCCCTCAGATCCGATGAGCTGTCTGTCTTTCTCCTCTTTTTTCCATCACTCTAGTCCCTGGTACATGAAACTCATGGCTTCTTCTGTGACAATGTAGACTTTCCCTGAGGGAAGGAAAGGCTCTGAAATAAATAGAAAGTGACAAGTCCTTAAATATAAGAAGTTGCTTTGGAAAGCACTGTAATATTTCTCAGACATGGGTGGGATCAATAAATCACTTTTGGTGGGAGATATTAGTTTAAAATGTAATTGTAAAATTGATGTTTATGACCTGTCCTACTGCTGCATCTCGGATTCCCTAAGATACATATTTTTCACATCTTCATTTATCATTTGTCAAAACATAAAATTATTGTTTTTCCCCATTATTACAAAAGGGAGAAGGTGGATCAGTCTTTCAAAATACGTGGGCTGCAGCAACATTTTTAATCTGAAAAAAAAAAAACTTCTCCCAACCTCCCTTGAGCTGCAACTAATTTCCCCTATTGCATGACTTTGCAATGGATATAGGGTCTCCTCTTGGAGGGAAGGATCTGATGTACAAAACTCCTGTGAGAAGTAGCAACTCACAGAACTACAGTCAGACAGTGCCAATGTCAGTCCAGAGTTAGGGCCCCTGCGTATCTGTCATTCTTGCTGTTAGTTCAGTTTCATATTTCCCAGCATCTGCTTGGGTTGCAGGCAACTCCTGTCTTTTCCCGTGGCCCTGCCCTCCATATTCACTGCAGTGTGGATCAATATGCCAAGGACTCCTTGACCCTGAGGAATGTAGCCAAAGCCTTCCACCATTCTCTCTGTCAGTTGGATCCCATGAATCATGAAGGATGCCCCTCAACATTCCCTGTACAATGCACTCTTAAGTCTCAGCTTCTGCAGTCATGGCAGTGAGTTAAAAAGAAAAGCGAATTGATTTAGGTCACAAACCCATCACACTAACAAGGCTTGCAAGGCCAGAGGCAGATCACTCGCTCCCAGATGGAAGAATGCCCAGAGTGCTTTAGGTAGAACCTGCCTAGTCTCTAAGAAAATTGAGAGGAGCCTGCTTAAGGATCTGCAAAGGAAATGCCATGCTAGAGGCATCTGAAACAAGTGTGGGTTCTTCTGTATGTCTCTCATCAATCGTCTATCTACCACCTACCATCTATCTACTACTCTCTATCATTATTTACCTGCCTGTCTGTCTATCTGTCTATCTATCTATCTATCTATCTATCTATCTATCTATCTATCTATCTATCTATCTATCTAT